TTTGTAAATAGACTTTTGCTCATCCCCTTTTCTATCGCCTCACGGTTACGCACCAACGGTGGTAACTGAAAGTCATCTCCGACCAGGAGAAATCTGTTAGCGAAACGAAGTGGACCCACACAAATCGGTAGTGTCACTTGTGTCGCTTCGTCTATAATGCAATAATCAAATCTGCGCTTCGAAAATATATAACTTTGCGCACATAACGTATACAATTCAAGATGTTAGTAGATCATCACATTAATTTTTAACCATGATACTGTAAGTTTAAATACGCACTGATTTATTCCAAGGCATGTAGTTGCAATCACCTGTTTTGATTCGATAAACGACCTGAATGAATTCACACTATCAAATTTTTCTACATCTAGCAAGAACGGCCATATATCAGGTTGAACCTTGGCCTTTGAACCAAGCCTTAGTACGTCTATACCTTCAAGAACTAACTTTGAGAGGATGCTATCTACAGCCGAATGTGTGTAAGCTGCAAGTAACACAGATTTTCCGTTTCTTACAAGAGTCTTGATGATTTGAACTATGGTGGTCGACTTTCCGGTTCCCGGCATCCCTAAAATTATTGCGTAATCTTCGGCTGGTTAAGAAAAATATGTATAAAGTTATGACGGGGCCAAGTTTTCAAATATTAACGGAATTCGATTAATCTTAAATTTGGTCGATATACCGTCTAATGCAAGTTTGACTGCCTTTCTCTGATCCTCATTTAGATTTTTCATATCTTCATAATCCGACATTATTTCATTTGCGTGATTAAATCCTGGTGGTACGAAGTCAACAACCAATTTTCTAAGTCTCGCAGTTTCTTCATCCACAAGAAGGCTCACAAGATTTTGCCGTACAAGTCTCATGTTGGAGGCCAACTCGTCCTTGTCAATTCGATACAGTGTCTCATGAATATCGATTTCTAGGCAGTTGCTAAGTGATTCGTTTTCTGACAATCCTGTGAAACCGTGACAGGATTCAATTTCGAAGTCTGTCCTACTTTTTGGACCGCTGCGAGGTGTCCGATCTAGAGTTAACCAGATGTGATTCGGTGCGATGTTTTCAATAAACCCGCTCGCTACTGTACGATGTGCCCTTTCTGACGATACGATTACGTGATCCCCAACGCAGAATTGAGTGTCCAGCACGAAATTCATTCTACCCATTTGACGCGAGAATTTGCATTTGAAACGCTTGTTTCCTTCGCCATTGGGAATAGCTTCAATACTTTTCGGATCTAAATACATGTTATTGAGGCATAAATCATCATCACACTTAGTGGTCAACATATTCCAAATTTCGGGTTGAAATCGATACAAATCTTCTTCCTCCAAAGTGATGAGTTCGTCCCATTTCCGTAAGAAATCAAGATGATGCTCTTGCAAATGCGAGACAACATTATCAAATAGATCCCCCATACTACCTTCTCCTGTTCCCTTCTCAATGGCCTTATGATAGAGAAAGCATGAAGTATTCGAGATGCATTTGCTGCACTGAAATTTATTGTCAATCATTGGTGGCAATGATGAAAATTGAACGTCAGACGCAAACCAAGCCATCTTATTGCGTTGAATTATCAAACTTCTCAGTTCGTGAGGAACAACAGGGACTTTAAGCATCTTTCCAGTTTCTTCATCTTGGGATTTTAGATAATATAGTAAGCCTGATCCTACGTCAATATTGTATTGATCGCCCATCAAAAGGCAGTAGAAGACAGTCTGCGCATAATGCGAAGATGACACATTTCTAGAAGTTTTTAATTCAAATGGCATTATCAACTTTTTCGTGATTCCGTTTTCAGATAGCTTTACTTCCATAGAAACATCAATTTTTCCTTTGAGACCATAGGTTGTGGAACAAATGT